ACCCAGGTTGGTTGTTTGTGTGTGTCTGTGTTCGTTTATATATGGGATCGGATTTCCTACATTTTTCAACCAATTTCAACAAAACTTCACTTTTTTTGGCAGATAGTGTTTCTTATTGTCTTGCACACATTTTTCTTTATTTTTACATTCAGAATGCTTTAAAAATTCCATTTACAAGACAATTGTTTATAATAAAATTCTATTCAATAGGTAGACTCATAACGATTGAAAACAATGTTTTTGTTTGAGTTTGAGTTTGGGTTTGACCAGTTCGTAAAAAAAACAAAAAACAAAAAAACAAAAACAAAAAAACTAATTAAGACATGCGTGTCCGTCAACCTTAAACAATAATCTTTGTCAATTTTATTTTTCAGTCTTTATGATGGTCGATACTTGATGTATCTCTTACTGTTACATCCCCGAGCAACGCCGGGCTCTACTGCTAGTGATTGAATAAGCTCCTGGCGAGTTTTACGACCATAAAATATCCGTAGAAATTCCCCTATCGCATCGTTAAATATTTCAGTTTAACAACCTTAACAAAACTAGAAAGACCCGTGATAATTTAACGCTTTTGCTATTTGAATTTTCTGATGAATCTTAATTCTTCAGGTAATGATTCAAGATTTCTTTCTTTCTTTCTTTCTTTCTTTCTTTCTTTCTTTCTTTCACTGGAACATAGTAACGTCTCTGATATGTCTTTTTCGTCTTTCCACTTGATCCAAACGGTATAGTCCATTGTCTTACCTCTCACAACCTACTCTCTGACAAACAATATGGCTTCCGCTATGCAGCTTATGTATTTACGGCCATCACTGAATACGTATGATAATAACGACGAAGCTCGAGCTGTGGCTGAAGACATCTCGAAGGCGTTTGACAGGGTTTGGTATGCTGCACTTCTACATAAGTCTCAGGGCTATGTTATTACAGGACGATTTGTTTGATTTAATCCAATCATTCCTATCAAATCCTGAAATTTAAGGTCGTTAGAAACGGGCTCGATTCTAGATCCTTTCACATGAATACGGGTTTCCTCTAAGATACTATTCTGGATCCTACACTGTTTCTGACCTTCATCAATTATCTCCCAGATGTCATCAGACCCCAAATAGGCATTTATGCTGATGACACTACCATTTACTCGTGTCTCAGTAGCAAATCCGTCAGAACTGACAAAGTTAACCTGGCCACAGCTCTTGGAAAGAACCTCCAATTTGTGGTCAACTGGGGCAGGAATTGGCTTGTAGAATTTAAAGCCTCCAAAACGAAGATTCTTACATTCAACCACCATAGAGAAACTTTCCTGTCCGCCATCAGTATGGCTGATTCTAGAAATCAATAGCTGCATCTACTGCTAGGAGAGTTGGTTCACTGTGTCGTCCTAGGAATTTTTTCATGTCAGAATCCATCTTGCACATTTATAAATCTACCATTCGACGGTTTATTGAATATTGCGGTCACATCTGGTCAGGTGCTCTCGTTCAGCATGTCGATATTCTTGATAAAATCCAAAGAAGGATCTGCAATGTAATCGATCCTAACCTGGCATCTCGACTTCAGTCGCTTTCTCACAGATCTGATGTGGCTTCCCTCTGTCTTTTCTACAAATATTTTCAAAACAACTGCTCTGACGAGTTTTTAACACTGATGCCCCGATAAATGAATTTAAGCAGGCTAATGTATAGGCATTTAGGTCCCGCCTTTTTACTGTTGAATTAAATGTAACCGGCATCTTCTTTTCTGGAATTTCCCGCCAATGAAACACCATTTCGTGTACCTGAAAACAACAATATACAAAACATTCAATACAGCGTCAATCGCCATCTTCCCGAATCCCATTCAGAATTTATCCTGTTCTCAGTCCGCACTTCAATCAACTTCTTCACACACCCTCAATCCCCCCACCCTGCGTTCTAGCGACATGCCCGCCTTGATTAGGGTGTAACGATTAATATATATACATATATATTTAATTAATTCATCGAGTCTGAGAGAAACCTCTTGGGACTCATCAGCAGTGCACATCCACTACCAAGAATTGAAACCCTAACAGTTAGGTTGTCAAGCGAACATCATACCAACTGTTCCAAATGGGCCTCAGTGACGAAGAGATTCCAAATCAGACTCAACTTAGCGCCGTTCGCTCACATATTCCGTAGTGGAACTCTACTGAGTTCTCTGTAACCATAGGACTGTGCCCCCCGGAGCCACGACTACTCTCACCAAGCCACCACCAACTGGAGCATTAGAAGCCGGTTCAAGCGATGATAAACACAGATAGTAATTATTAGAAGGATTTGATAATTATATTTAATTAATTCATCGAGTCTGATAGAAACCTCAACAATATATATATATATTCTCCCAAATTAACGTTCCCTCTTTATCTCTCTCTTTCTTTATCACTCTCTCCCTCTTTCTCTCTCTCTCTCACTTTATCTCCCTCTCTCTTTCTTTATCTCTTATATATATATATATATATATATATATATATATATATGAATGTAAAATATCGCTCATTGAGTTCTGGTGTTAATAAAAAATAAGAATATAAAAATAAGAATAAAATGGCATACACGCACACACACACACACACATATATATATATATATATATGTGTGTGTGTGTGTGTGTGTGTGTGTGTACACTGAGTGTATGCCATTTTATTCATATTATTATAGCTCTGTTATTGTACATCGAGCACTATATAAAGAAATAAAGAGATAGAGATAAAGAAAGAGAGAGGGATAAAGAAAGAGGGAGCGTTAAATTGGGAGAAAACCAAACAGACTTAAAGAGACTGAAAAAGAGAGACTTTCTAAAATCCTACAAATTATAATTCCTAACTGAATAATAATAATAATAATATATATATATATATATATATATATATATATATATATATATATATAAAACAGCATTTATATATATATATATATATATATATATATATATATATATATATATATAAATGCTGTTTCATTAAAGACAGACACGGCACTACGATTAAGCTTTTTATTTAAATTTTCTTTTAACATAAATCTAATTAATTTAAAAAAAATTTAAGACAGTTAACCTTATCCTCAAAAATGACAACTGACCTGCAAAGCTACAATGAACGAACATTATATATGAGTTCAAATGGCTCCTTAAGGAACTGTGTTCCTGATAAAACTGAACTCATAAATAATTACATTGGCCACACAACTACATCCTTATCCCGTAGCCTTACGTTACACCTCTCTGGTCATAGCTCTATTAGAACCCATTTAAAAACACACACAAACTTACCAGACTCCATTCGAAACATACTAGTAGAAAACACAAACATAATAATCTCACCCTCTTGTAAAAAAAAGATTTAAAATAATGGAAGGCTTAATATTAAAAAAAAAAAAGCCAACATTTAATAATATTAATTACGAACACGGCTACAATTTGCTGTATTCGAAAAATAAAACAACCTTATAACTCTAGATACATACACACAACCAACACACCCAATTAAAAACAAAAATAAAAACATCCTTGATAATGGCTAAATGTATAGCCGATAGCGCTCGGAGTTATAAAACATTTGGACAGCTTCTACACACAGTGTCCAAAAAGGAAAGCACTTCTTTGAACACAAAAAAAAAATTAAATAAAAAGCCTAATCGTAGTAACTTGTCTGCATAAATAACGGATTGCTGTCTAAATACACAATATATATTTTTTAAGCATTTAACCCCAAGCAAGGCGGGAAGCCACTGGCACGCAAGGGGTTGCAGAGAGTTGGAGAGAGAGCAAAGAGGAGTGATAGAGGAAAGGATGAAGAGAAGGATAGGGGAAAGATCAAGGCATCTGGAGACGTCGATTGACATTACATTTGAATAGCTGGAGATTATAGCTAACAGGGAAAGAGGAAAAGGGGAGGGAGTTCCACAGGCGAGAAGTGCGAGACATGAAGTTATTACAGTAGAAGAGACGGCTACATTTAACACTTTCGACATTGAAAGGGTGTAAGCGAGATGCCAGCCTAGGAGAACGCTTAAAGTCTGGGAACCAGCGAAAACAGCTCATCGAAGAAGTTACCGGGAAAGTATTTCTAAAAAAAGACAGAGGGAGGCGACGGCACGTTTGTGAGAGAGCGACTGTAGACGAAATGCCAGATCAGGGCCAATTACATTGCATATCCGTCTTTCGATTTTATGAACGACCTTGAGACAAACAGAAGGGGCTCCAGACCATATATGGCAGCAATAAAATCATCCTTGATAATGGCTAAAAGTAGAGACGAAAGCGCTCGGAGTTATAGAACATATAGGACAGTTTCTAGTCTGTGTCCAGAAAAGAAAGCTCTTGTGCGAACACAAGAAAAATTAAATAAAAAGCTTAACCGTAGTACCTTGTCTGTCGTTTTTAATGAAACATGCATAAATGAAGGATTGCTGCCTAAATACTCGGTTTCACGTTTTTGCTGGGTTACAAACTCACATCTATCCAACCAAATATGTTATTTCTATCTCTGATATTGAGCGCTTTCTAATAAATACCGCGCATATAATATATAGATAATAACATATATGTTTCACGCATATATATATATATATATATATATACACACATTTTTCACACACACACACACACACATATATATATATATATATATATATGTCATTCGCAGATAGTACTGTTTCGCTGTATAACAGCTCCTCAGTGCGACAAGACAGTATATATATATATATATATGTGTGTGTGTGTGTGTCTGTGTGTGTGTGTGTGTATGTATATATGTATGAGTTAAAAGATAAAATGCAGATTAAATACGGTTCAGAATCCGCTAGAATGATAATTTCTAACTGAATAATATATATATATATATATATATATATATATATATATATATATATATATATATATATATATATAAAGAAAAAATTAAATTCAAACGAAAAATTAATAACCATGGAAAGACAGAAACCAACAATAATGAATTACAAAAAATAAAGAAAGAATTATGTGAAAAGAAAAAAAAGAAAGAAATAAAGCATGAAAGAATGAAAGTAAAAAGAAAGAAAGAAAGTAATTGAGAAAGAAAAATACAGATAAAAGAAAAAAGGAAAAAGAAAGAAAGAAAGAAAGAAAGAAAGAAATACAACACTAATGGAAATAAAGGAAGGAAGGAAGGAAGGAAGAAAGAAAGAAAGAAAGAAAGAAAGAAAGAAAAGAAGGAAGGAAGGAAGGAAGGAATAGAGAAAGAAAAAGACAGATAAAAGAAAGAAAGGAAAACAATGGAAAGAAAGAAAAAGAGTAGGAAAGAATGACAGAAAGAAAGAAAGAAAGAGAACAAAAAAAAAACACAAATAAAGACACACACACACACAATAGAGGCGAATAAAAAGTAAAATGAAAGCAATAAATAGAGATCGAGAGACGATTTGCTGAAATTGAAAGAAAAAATTTGAGAAAAGAGCTGAAAAAAAGAATTATCTTTTTTATAGACAACACAGATGGAGACGAATAGACATTGTACGCCATTGTAACACACGGCATTTTCATTTTGGTGGGGCGTGTGTGTAGAAATACCTGGAAAGAGAGAGAGAGACAACGAATCCATTCGAAAACACTGAAATGCAATCCTTTCTCTAACTCAACTATATTATTATTATTATCATCGTCATCATCATCATTAATATTATTATTATTATTGTTGTCGTTGTTCTTGTAGTTGTTGTTGGTATTGCTGATATTATACTTATCATTAGTTTTATTATTATTATTACTATATGCATATTCACACCAGAGGTATTTGGAGATTATCACTGCGGGTCAAGTGACAGTAAGGCTCCTCCAAACTTCATCACCATCCTCGGCAAACTCAACAAGTCATTATTATTATTATTATTATTATTATTATTATTATTATTTCCGCTATTGTAGTCGTGGTCGTCGTCGTGGTGGTCGTGGTGGTAGCAGAGGTAGCAGATTGCGATTGTTTTTATTGCTGTTCTTGAAATGTTCATAAATTCGAGACAATCGCCATAGTGTTTGCAGTTTGCGTAGTTTTTGCATTTATAGCAGTACGAATAGTGGTGAATGGCAAAAGCTTGAATTGAAGAAACGAAGGAGTTTAAAATGATAGACGTAAAATCGGGCCAGAGTTTGTAGAAGGAGGAAAAGCCCTGAAGATAGATAGATAGATAGATAGATAGATAGATAGATAGATAGATAGATAGATATGAATAGACAGGGAGATAAATATATATATATATATATATATATATATATATATATATATATAGATAGATAGATAGATAGATAGATAGATAGATAGATAGATAGATGATGAATGGATGAGATATATACATATATATATATATATATATATATATATATATATATATATATATAGAGAGAGAGAGAGAGAGAGAGAGATAGATGATGAATGGATGATATATATATATATATATATATATATATATATATATATATACATATATATAGAGATAGATAGATAGATAATGAATGCTTGAGATAGATAGATAGATAGATAGATAGATAGATAGATAGATAGATAAATAGATAGAGAGATAGATAATGAATACTTGAGATAGATAGATAATGAATAGCTGATATATATATATATATATATATATATATATATATATATATATATTATAGATAGATAGATAAGATAAAGAAATAATGAAATGAAGACAAATGAATAAAATGAAAAGAAATAAAAGTTCAAATGAAGGAAGGAAATAATGAAGGCGAAAGAGGAAAGCGATGAATGCAAAATTAAACGCCATGAATGAAAGAATAAAGATGAACTAAAGAAAAAACAAAGGAAGATAAATGTAGAATAAAGAAAGAAAAGATAAATAGAAATGGATAGAATGAAAAAAAGAAAGAAATGAAAAGAAAGAAAGAAATCGAAAGAAAGAAAGGAAGAACGAATGAAAGAAAGAAATGGAAGGAAAGAAAGAAAGAAATGGTAAGAAAGAAAGAAAGAAAGAAAGAAAGAATGAAAGAAAGAAATGGTAAGAAAGAAAGAAAGAATGAAAGAATGAAAGAAAGAAATGGTAAGAAAGAAAGAAAGAATGAAAGAAAGAAAGAAAGAAATGGTAAGAAAGAAAGAAAGAAAGAATGAAAGAAAGAAATGGAAAGAATGAAAGAAAGAAAGAATGAAAGAAAGAAAGAAATGGTAAGAAAGAAAGAAAGAAAGAAAGAAAGAAAGAAAGAATGAAAGAAAAAAGAAATGGTAAGAAAGAAAGAAAGGAAGAAAGAATGAAAGAAAGAAAGAAATGGTAAGAAAGAAAGAAAGAATGAAAGAAAGAAATGGTAAGAAAGAAAGAAAGAAAGAATGAAAGAAAGAAAGAAATGGTAAGAAAGAAAGAAAGAAAAAGTCGAGGAAAATAAAGAAAACGAGGAAAAGTAGAAAAAAGAAAGAAGGAAAGAAAGTAAACGCGGTAAAGAAATAATGAAACAAAAAAGAGAATAAAGAAAACGATAGAAAGAAAGAAAGAAGTAAAGAAGCGAAGAAAGAAAGAAAGAAAGAATGAAAGAAAAATTGATGAAAGAAAGAAAGAAAACAATGGAAAAAGTAAGAAAGACAAATACGTGGATATATAGAAAGAAAGAAAAAAGAAAGAAAGAAAAATAAATAAATGTAGAATAAATGAAAGAAAGAATTGATAAAAGAAAGAAAGAAAAATGGATGAAAGAAAGAAAGAAAACAATGGAAAAAACAAGAAAGACAGATACGTGGATATATAGAAAGAAAGATATACAAAGAAAGAAAGAAAGAAAGAAAGAAAGAAAGAAAGAAAGAAAGAAAGAAAGAAAAGAAATAATGAATGAAAGAAAGAATGGATGAAAGAAAGAAAGAAAGGATGAAAGAAAGAAAGAAAAAAACCATGGAAAAAGTAAGAAAGACAAACACATGGATATATAGGAAAGAAAGAAAGAAAAATTGAAAGAAACAAAGAATGGATGAAGAAAGAAAGAAAGGAAGGAAGAAAGAAAGTATAGATGAAAGAAAGAAAGAAAAATGGATGAAAGAATGAAAGAAAGAAAGAAAGGATGAAAGAAAGAAAGAAAGAAAACAATAGAAAAAGTAAGAAAGACACATGGATTTATAGAAGAAAGAAAGAAAAAATGAGAGAAAGAAAAAATGAGAGAAAGAAAAAATGAAAGAAAGAAAAAATGAAAGCAAGAAAGGAAGAAACAAAGAATCGATGAAGAAAGAAAGAAAGAAAGAAAGAAAAAAACAAAGAATCGATGAAGAAAGAAAGAAAGAAAGAAAGGAAGATAGAAAAATAAAATAACAAATAAATTAATCAATAAAGGAAAGTAATGGCATATGAATGAAAATACAATTCTAAAACAAAGAGAAACAAAAAAAGAAAACAAAAGATACAAAAATGAAGGCAAAAGAAAAAGAAAGAAGGAAAGAAAGAAAGAAAGAAAGAAAAAAAAAGGAAAGAAAGGAAACTAACAAAAAAAGAAAGCGAGAAAGAAACGAAACATATAATACGTGCAAACGAAATACGTTCGACTTATTAGTGGAACTAGTAACACTTCAACTCTAAGCACATTTTAAACCTTTTCTCTATCATCGCATTTACAGGAGGAACACATATTTCCCCCACTGCATGCCTCCGACCCTACCACCACCTCCAACCCCCGACCCACAAGCTCAGGTACACATTTTCTAGGTAGAGACATAGATATTGTCAAAACAAGACGCACCCCGCCTTCCACTGGCTCTTAACGTGTTAAGAGAATCTTTAAAGAGAAACAATTTATTAGGCCTATCAAATTCTAGTGTTTCTCTTGGGAGAGGAACATTTTTTAAAAATCATCGTTTTTGAGAGGAGACCATATTATTTCAGTGCCGAAAACAGAAACATCGAAAAGTGAGGCAGCACGCCCCCACCCTAGTTTGAAAGGATAAATAAAAACAAAGCCTCTATATCACCACACTTGTACACGCACACATACATAAATACACATCAACAGAGAAAGAGAATGAGTGAGAAATACATACATATATATATATATATATATATATATATATATATATATATATATATATATATATATATATAATATTTGATATTACTTGGATCAACTTGTATTGTATATTGTATATTGTATATATATATATATATATTTAATATTTGATATTACTAGGATCTACTTGTATTGTATATTGTATATTGTATATATATATATATATGTATATTTTATATTTGATATTACGAGGATCAACTTGTATTGTATATATATATATATATATATATATATATATATATATATATATATATATATACATATATATATACACATATGTATATGTATGTATACGCACATATATATGTGTGTGTGTATATATATATATATATATATATATATATATTTAAACTCATGTTATTTACTTATGTTATAATAATTAAATATATATTTTCACTCTTCTGTATTAAGCACTTTTTAAAAATAGTTTTTTTGCTTACTGGAAGTTTATATCTATCTATCTATCTATCTATCTATATATATATATATATATATATATATATATATATATATATATATTACGAAATTGACTAATTCCGAAAATTATTTTAATATATTTTCTCTGTTTTTAGACACAGATATTGAAAGAAACGTTCCATTTAAAATAAACATTATTAAGTTAGTAACAACATTTACCGCCCTGAATAGTCATTTCGCATATTTTCTATGAAATTTTTCAAATATTCAGGCCGGTAAATGTTTTTAATACTGTTTATTATAAAAAAGCATTTACTTAAATATTTTATCTATAAAAATAACTTATAAGCAGAAAGTATACATACATACATACATACATACATATATATATATATATATATATATATATATATATATATATATATATATATATATATATATATATATATATATATATATATATATATATATATACACATACACACACACACACATATATATATATATATATATATATATATA